AGCAAATTAATTCAGGTGTTATTTTAGGATTAGTAAAATATACAAGATTGGTGCAATTCAGCTTTAATTTTGGAAATGATTATATTGCTGTCACTTTTTGATATTACTACACATTTCTGTTAATTTTTTTTTGTAGGGGTAAGAATTTTTAGTACTCTAATGCTAAGCAATTTATTATAAAATAACTGCTTAGTCATCTTTATTTTCTGAAGAGAGCATACTCTATTGAAGTTCTCTGCAGTGAGTAGAACATAGGAAGGAGAATATGATTTTACAGACTAAGCATTACATTTTGTGAGCTCATAATAATTCTTAGTTACTAACATAGCAGTTCTTGACTAATTTTAAATTGTCTTGAAGGAACCCAGCCAGAACGGACCTCTTTTTACTGAGTTAAAGTTCTACATGAGAGCTGCTAAGCCAGATGAAAGTAAGCTTTCTATTAAAATACTTTGAATGAATTACAGCATCTAGGAAAATAAAGCCTACAGGAGTAAGGTAGCTCTTTAAAAAAATCCTTTAAGATCATTTTTGAAAATATTTTTAAATTATAAAAATGACATGTAGTAAAATTAAGGTTTTTGGTAAGATTTTTCTTAATAATGTGTTGATGATATTACATATGCATTTAGCTGTACACTGTCTGTAAAGGATGTGTCACCTGCTTACCAGTATAGTTTGCATACTACTTTCTGTAAAATAATTAGCTTACATGTGTGTAGAAGCTGTAAGAGATGTAAGTGCTACCTTTTAGGTAAGTCTCTCCTGATATGAATTCATGAACTTGCTTTTGTTTGTATTTCTAGTTCAGAAGTGGACTAAGTCCCATAAACTGAAATATTTAGGAGTCCCAAGATACTGGGGTTCTGGCTTACATGAAAAAAGTGGAAACAGGTAAATATATCTGTTGTTGGCACACATGTGGATTTATTCAATGCACGACTACTATCCCTTTTAACCAAATCCGGTATATAAGATATATTTTCACCTATCCTGATGTTTCATAGTAGTGTATATATAAGGAATTGATGTATTCTATCTGTATTCTGATTGTTATTCGTATTTGTGTCTCATATTCTTACTGATTTAGTTTTTATTTTTCTCAGACGTCACCGTAATAGGGTAACTCTACATATTAGTGGTTTAGAAGCTCTTCATTTTTGAATTAAAATAAAGTTAACTTTTAACATAGATGTCCTTGCCTGATATGACTACCTTTTAAAGTTTATCCTTTTTAGTTATTCTGGCATGGCGTGCAGTTAAAAGGATTTTAACTCATGCATAGAAAAGATTTAGAGCAGTCTCTACACCTGTTTGATTTTCTCTAGGGGTAGCTTTTTGACTTAATCTGTAAATTACAGTAGTTGCTAGTCTCATGGTAGGATTGTCTTAAGTTTAAGGGTACTTCTTAGTATTGTTTGATATTGCAAAGTGTTTTTGTTACTTTGTATTGGATGGTGTGTTTATGTATTAGTCCTGATTTCCCAGTGGATTCTCTGTATAGTGATGCTACAAATAAATTTTACTAGGTGCTCTTCTTTTTGTATGGGCCACTGAGTAGGGTAGTTGGTATATGGAGTCGTGTGTGCCAGAAACTGCTTTGTTTCAATAAATCCTCAAATTTAAAGCTAATCTATTGGAAAAAAATATTAATTCTGAGAGGCAAAAGTAAATGTAACATTAAGATTTTTTTTTCCAAGTAAACTTTTTGTTGTTTAGTATATGAGGCTCTTACACTAATAAAGTTACTGCTAGCTCTTATGATAATAGAACTAATTTGACTATAGCAATGAGTATCAAATCATTTTTAGCAAGTGAGTTTTTTAATAAGTTGAAAGAAAAGCATCAGATCAGAGAAACCAACTTTTTAAAAGTGACCTTTTAAAGTTATTCAGCCATTGATACTTGTCATCTATAGTGGATTTTTTACAGGTATTTTCCCATATGGATATTTGCTTTGTATGGCAAAAGTAGCCAGCTGATATAAAGGAAATAAGAGTTGAAGTACAGTATAAAAAATGTCAAGTATATCCCATATATTTGTTTCTCTGTTCTTGAAGTTTGTCTGTAGGTAGAGACCTTTTCTTTTGTAGTTTGTGTTTTGAACATAAAGATAAAATACTTTGCAAAGTGCAAATCAGTAATTTTTTGTTTCTTTTTGTGAATTTAGTTATCGGTTTATGATAATGGACAGGTTTGGGAGAGATCTTCAGAAGATATATGAAGAGAATGCAAAGCGATTTACCCACAAAACTGTATTACAATTAGGCCTGAGAATAGTAAGTTTAAAAAAGAATTTTATAATCTGACTTCTCCTAAACTGTTCTGTTAAATTATGCTTTTGTGCTGGATACAGGTCCTCTGCTGGTTGGAGCCTGGTACTGCACTTATACGACTATATTTTGTTTTATTAGCTTGATATTCTGGAATATATCCATGAACATGAATATGTGCATGGAGACATCAAGGCGTCAAATCTTCTTTTGAGTTACAAGAACCCTAATCAGGTATTTCTGAGGCTTTTTTTAATCATGTTTTTATCACGGAAATGCTTTGAACTTGTGAAATCTAGCAGAAGCTCATTTTAAAAAATGTGTATGGTAACATTATTTCTGCTTGACATTTATATCTAGTTAATATTCTACATTTTTATGCAATTTGCTGGACAGTTTATCAAATTGACTATTTGCCCTAAATAATCTAGAGAAATTCTCATGATTAAAACAAAATTGACTCTCAAATAGATATTTGCAGGTGGAAGCTTAAAATTATATGGTACACCAGTAAATTATGTTTGCCTGTCTGCATTGTTCCTCATTCCTTTGTTCAAGAAATCCATCAGATAAGTGTTCTGTTACTTGGAAAAATTGGTCTTTAAAATGTTGATTGTTCCACTTGATTTGCAGAGGTCTTTCATTTTTTTCTGCATTTTTAACTCTCTTTTCTATTCAAAAAATGCGTATTAGAATTTCTGAATTGGGCATGTCATCTTGTCCAAATATTTTAGCTTATTCAATGAATAAAATAATGTCAACTCTCCTGAAGTAACTGTGGTGTTAGTGAGTAGTAATAGTAGCTATGGTCGTTTTACAATATTATTTATAAGTCCAATGCTCAAACAGGACACCTGAATTCAAGGAGGATAGGACAGTAAGTATATGTATAATTTTGTATGAATTTTGAGTCCAATTATAAATATTTTACTGTACTTGGCCCTGCATTAGCAAGAAGTGACTTCCAGAACAGACTGTTCTATGGAAAATGACAAAAGCTTTCAGACATGCTGCTTTCAAGTTGTGTGTAGTAATCTCAGTAAAGCTTTGAGAAAAGATCATTTAAATTGAAAAAAGACCATGTATAATTCTTTATAAGAAATTATGAGAGCAGTTGAGAATTCTGTTCATGTATTTTTGTGCTTGTCATTCTTTAATCCTTGTATTCTGTGTGGAAATTATTAGGTATACCTGGTGGATTATGGGCTTGCTTACCGGTACTGTCCAGAAGGGGTTCACAAAGCTTATAAAGAAGATCCTAAGAGGTGTCATGATGGGACTATTGAATATACCAGTATTGATGCACACAAGGGTGTGGGTAAGAAGGCAGAGGCTTTTTTCTCAGTGATAGGTGTTTGCGTCTCCTTTTAAAAATAAATGTAGAAGATTTATCTGCTGTACTATGTTGTTAAACAAGTTTCTGAATCTGCAATAATATATATATTTTTTCTCTCTGTAAACTATGTTGGCATTTATTTTTTTTCCTTACACTTACTAGCTTTTGCTTTGATTTTATTTGCTGTGTTTTTTAGTCCAAACTTCTTGTATAGTTTCCTTATTTTATGAATTTGTGTAAGATGTTTATAGAATATTGCTTGACAAAGCAATGGGCCCTGTTTTTAGGGGGTAAATAGGTCCTGTTAACAAATCCATTACTTTGTAATTACACCTGTAGTCACTGAACATCAGAAGGCAAGTCGTGAGAATGTTGAACATGGAAGTCACAGGGCTGTATATGAATGAACATTGAGGATTTGTCGTGAACATCAATTTTATTTTCTTCATTCTTAAATTTTGTTTAATTATCAGAAAAATGTCTTGCATTGTCTTGTATGTCTTGCAAAAAATGTCAGTGCTGAAAATTAGTGTTTTCTTCCATATGAATTGTTGCATCTATCCTATACTTAAAACTGACTGAACAAAGATGGCTTGATTAGGCCACTTGTCCTTTGAAAGAGTAACTTGTGGTCAATATCCACATGGGGTGTTTTTGGAAAGCCCTAGGGATGTGATGTTTTGCTGTACTGTGCTTGGCTTTCCAGGCCACATGAAATATTTCTATGTTGCAGAACAGTTATTGTGGAGAGCAGGGCTTTTGCCCAACTTTTCTTTTTTCTTTTTTCAATAGAAGAGAGAATGTAAAATAATGTTTTGAACAGAAAGTCAATCACTTCTCTACAGGCTCTATTTTTTTTCCCAATCCAACTACTTAAAAAGCTTCACAAATTGGGATAACTGCAGCATGTCATACCCTTGAATGAGGAGAAAGAGATTGATAAAGGACTTGAAAATGAAGTTATTCTTCTAAATGTAGGAATAATATTTTTCCCTTCTTTTACACTTAAGAAAAAAGATTTAAAATAGTTTTACATTGTCAGTATTGGCTTTCTGTTTTCTTGCCACACTTACAAGTTTTAGCAGTTGTTAAAATGTGCTCCTAAAATTATTCTTTTTTTCGTGTGTGTGTGTGTGTGTTTGCATGCTTAGCTCCCTCGAGACGTGGTGATCTGGAGATCTTAGGTTACTGTCTGATTCATTGGCTTAGTGGCCATCTACCATGGGAGGATAATTTGAAAGATCCAAACTTTGTCAGAGACTCAAAAATCAGGTGAGAAACTCCTTTCTTTCTTTCTTTCTTTCTCTTTTGAAAATAAATATAGGAATAAATGAAATGAATAAAAATGTCCTGTTGTATAAGTATTTTGTGCTTTTGGTGTATTTTGTTTTGGCAGTTGTGTCATACGGTGTACCCTCCATTTTCCCTCCATTTCCCTTGTAATTCAACTTTTTTTAGTTGTACTCTTGTTCCAAGTTCTCCTCTAGCTGTGATTTTTTTGGGTCTGTGAGATGGTATTTTATGCTGCAGAGCTGGTGTTTTTGAACACTACCGTGGCGATTCCACACAGCACTCTTTATTAGGATGGTGATAACCTGCTTTACAGAAGGTGAAACAGTAGCACAGCTTCTGAGTAATCTTTTAGGGTTGTCTCTTGAAATCTTTGGCAAGGGGCAGGGCTGAAGTTGGATCTTCAAATTCTTTGACCATTGCCCCTGCTAGAGGGCTGCTAATGTGTAATTTAGGACATTTTTGTTTGTTTTTGTTTTGGTTTTGTTTCCTTCTGACCCTCAAATCTCTTTTTGGAGATACTCAATATTGAGAAAACTGTCTCAGCCTGTCAGTTTCTGTCTAATTCACAAGTATTTGTTGTATAGTTTCCTGCTCTGTACTTTTAATTCTTCTGCCTCCACCAGTAAGCAAAGCTTGGCTTTTCCTTTGTAGTTATTGATTTGGCTGGGAGGCTGCTCTGAGTAGTATCAGTTTGTGAAAGTCCTTGAACAGAAAGAGTTGAGGGCACTGGTATGAGAGAGCTTAAAATGGAACAGTTCCTTTCCTTCAGTCTTCCACTTGCTTGCTTTTGTAAAAACCAAAAAGTGATGAACAAAAAGCTTACTGTGTTTCAGGTAGCCTCCCTGGCATTCATCAGGTTCTCAAAGGCACTGTACTAATAAAAATGCACCCATTCTAAGTCATACGGAGGGTTCATCTACCAGGGTTTTCTGCTTCTGGCAGTGGCCCAAACTAGATGTTTAGGAAATGTGTCAGAACAGGGCAAATATTCCAAACCTGAAAAAAACGTAATAGCTTTGAATAATTTTGTTTTTCAGATTTAGAGATAATATTTCAGATTTGATGGACAAATGTTTTCCAGGGAAAAATAAACCAGGTAAGAGGAGCTATTTTAAAAAGTTAAACATTTTAAATAATTTGTTTATATATATATATATATATATATTATATAAAAGAAAAAAAGCCCCCCCCTCTTTGGGGGCTATCATCAGGTTTTAGAAACCTTTAGAGATTGGGTAGAAGCTCTAATGTGCCAACTTTCATGTGGTAAATCGAATGTGTGCAGAGGAGGGCTACTCTAAATTCAAATAAAAACAGATAAATTCAGTTGCTGCAAAAGGTGAGGATTCATCAGGTTGCTGGCAACTTTTGAGAGGTATGTGTCAAGAATGGAATTTCATCTGTTGCTTCTTTAAATTCCCCTTGCCTACTGGAGTTTGCATCTTTTTTCATTTACTTTTCTCAGCAAAAACAAAGTGGCACTGGTAAGGTTTTTGAATAATAATAGCTTAGAGTCTTTTCCTTTTGCCTGTAGCCTCTGACTAGAAGACAGAATTATGAATTTGCACATATGAAATATGTAAGTCATAAAGTAATGAAAATCTGAATTCTGGAGGAGTGTTTCTACTTGGCATTAGTAATTTTGTTGAGTTGGTTTTATTTCTGGTAGAAATACACTTTATTGGGAATATAAACTTAAATATTTTGTTATTTCCAGCTGTTGTTTCCTGGTAGTCAGTAAAGGATTTTCTCTGTCAACTGCTTCTTATGTGATTTTTCAATGTCCAAATTTGTTTTCTCTGTTTTATTTTTCATATTTCTTTCTTTTTAAATGATAAAGTGCTTGGATGACAATGAGTTTTCTTTTCAACATTTTAAAATATAGGCATAAGAAATATTATGTAAAGAAGCATTCATTGGTGAAGATTGGCTTATTACATTTTTTACGATCGACTGTTTTCTTCGTTACAATAAATGTATAAGAAACAGCGATGCTGTTATCACAGGGTAATGAACCTTGGTATATTTTTTTCTAAAATGTGTTGTAATGAAGTCATAATTATGAGTTTATAAATAACCATTTCAAAAAATAGTATAAATAGTGCATGCATAATTTCTGACTCTTTTGTGGTAAAAGCTAATGATTAAGATGTTTTCAAACAAATTAATTTGAAGTACAATTTTTTTTAGATGAAATAGCCAAATATATGGAAAAGGTGAAACTGTTGAGCTATGACGAGAAGCCTGTATATCAACATTTTCGAGAAATACTTCTGCAAGGCTTCAAGACCATTGGACAAAAAGATGATGGAGTTTTAGACTTTGGCCTGTTAGAGAATGGAGACTTGCAAACCAAGCCCTTACAAAAGGTTTTTACTTTAAAATTTTAATGTTTTTGAACTAAGTAAAGATTTAGAGTGGTATTGGAAGTAGGTGTTGTAGCTAGATCAAGTAATAAATAAGCAAATAGCCAAATGTATATTTGCTTGTGCTACTCGTATATGCTATATCTGTAATTTTTAACTTGACAAATTTTTATGAAAGCTTAAATATAGAATGATGTTTGTAGGTGTACTTTCATAATAAGTAAGATAGTACCTTTGGTAACAGAATACACATTTAGTTATAATGACATTTGAACAGCTGAACATTCAGTTAATTTACTTATGTTTGTCAAAATTCAAAACTCTCCAGATAAGCCAAAATTCATGTATGGCAAAATAAATTATTATTATTATTTTCTTCCCTTTCCGTGATTATTTCAAGGTTTAATCTTACATACACATCTTTATGCAAGGTCTTAGGTACCAGAATTCCATATTGAATTCTCAGTTATCTAGTATTTATGAACAGTTACCTATGAACCTTAATGGTAGACTGCATGTATTTTAATGTATTTCTTTAAATTGGGTCGCACATTGGAATATTGGATGAGAACTTTTTTTGTTAGGTATATAGTATGTTAAAGTGGTAAATAACAGCATTAAAAAAGGAGACATATTTTTGTGCACTTCAAACCAAACAACTTTTTAGTTCCTTTAGCATAAACTAGGGAGTTGAGAATTATGATACAAAGTAAGAGTCCAAGAATTCTGCCTAGTGACATGATCAGCTATATGTAAAAGTTGGACAAAGAAACACAAAACAGAAACAAAAATAGTAAGACTTTAAAGTTTTCTAAGTATATACCTTTTTTCTCAGTTCCTGTGATTAGGAAGTAGAACTCTGACTGAAACTGTATGCACCTGGTCTTTGTACTAATATTTTCTCCTGAAGCGAGTATGATTGGTCCAAAAGGAGAGCTCATAGCATAAATTCTTCTCATCCCCTCCTGTGGACTTACATGGCTTGAGACCTGTGTTTTGGAGAAAATCTGTTTTTGATGGTTGGCTGACTTCTTTGCTGCATAACTTGGCCTGCTGCAGAGCCAACATCTGTGACCTTCTTTGTCCTTGCCCAGCAGAGATGCCTGGTGCAGGTTTCCAATGGAACATCCAACTTCCAGAAATCTTATTTCTTGCTTTCAGAAAAAAAACATCCCCAAAGAGTGGGATAATCCTTTTGTTCTTGTATGTTAGCATCAAATAGGACGTTTTACAATAGGGCTCTTACGTTTTAACTTTGAGGCACCACATGAATGGTCAGCTTGGTCAGCTGTCACAGATATGTTTAGGCACTTAAATAAAATCATAGGTGTTGTCAGTCCTTTTGCATAATTGTTTTCGGCAGTCTGCCTTGTACTGCAGTGATACTTCCTGAAGTTATGGCTAGAGTGTCTGGGCAGAATAAGATTGGTTACCTGAAATGGGGTTGGCATGTTCTGTTTGCTTTTGAAAGAATGCTGGGTCAGAAAACTCTTGCTTCTATGCTGGATTTTCTAGGTCTGATAACAACTGTGATGGCTGTAGGCTAGGGACTTTGCCATTCCTCCTTCCAGGGTTATATCTTGGACTGTTCCTGAAGAATAAGTAGGATGAGGGTACTCACCAAGAACTCATTCTTCCCAAAATATATGTTTGGCAACGGATACTCTCAACTGAGATGCTGCTGCATGTTCTTTCTAGAGGGTGTTACGCATTAGCGAGAGGCTGGGAGAACTGGAAGATGAGATTTGTGTAGATGGGGGTCATGCAAGTAGCTGGGCATTTGGATTCACAGAGGAGGAAAGCTTTATGCCAATTAAAAGTGTATGTTTTCCACTGTGACAGTCAGCTTGACTTGATGACTGAGTATTTTAAGAATAAGTTCCAAACTTTGTTAAATTGCTTTCCACAGGTAGAATGTGCTGTTGATCAGTAGCATCTTGCCTCTGAAAATCAGTATCTTCCAGCACACGTTGAATTCTCTTGGCATGCTTAATGTCAAGTTTGGAAAAGAAAAATGCAACCTGGCATTCTCCTTTGAGAAGAAGCTGAACTCTGAGAGAGACAATTTGTGGCATTTCTTCTGTACTGGTCTTTTAATCATGACAGTTCTTAAGATACACATCCTTATATTTGTTTGGTGCAAACTACCATAATACCTTTTTCAGTGTTATTCAGTGTTCTGAAGTTAGACTGTTTTGTAACTGGAAGAGAATACTTTTTAACTTCTGTTTAAATAATTTATCTGAATGTAGGATTCTCTGGTGCACTCTGCTTATATAGCTAATGGAGCCACGATGTGCACTGTGTGTTGCTTATAAGCAGGGTGGTTGTGGAATCTCAGTCATTCTCCACTCTGTATCTGGCTCATACTCACAGATGCTTGCTATATTAAAAATTAACATTTTATTCTCTATATCATGACTCAAGTTTCCCCAGATGTATCAGTAAATGAAACAGTCGAAAATTCTGCTGGAGTTTTTCGGTTCTGTATAAGGTTTGCATGTTGGCATGTGTGGTGTTTTGTAACAGTTGTAGTGAAAGAAGAAGCTACCAATATCATGTGTTGAAGGCAGCATTTGGAGCTCTTGACTAAATTATTTAGAGCAAGGACCACTCTTACTACTCTCTTCTTGAAGTGCTACGTATGCTAACGTCACTTGCCAGTTGCTGGGAATTACTGGGAGTAAACTAAATGGGAGGAATAGGGATTTTTGTCTCTTGCAGCCCCTTGGATGTTCAGCTTCAGCTGCGCGGGTCCTTTGTCAGATGAATGTAGCCTGATTTATATTGCTATGTAATTCACCTGCATCAAGATTAAGAAACCGCTTTTTATTAAATAAGCTTGGAAACAAGATAAATGTATTTTGCTTTTGTGTAGCACGTATTGAATATCTGTTTTTATGATAAGCATTCAAAATCTTTTCTAGGACAATTGGGAGGAATGCATTATCTCTCATAAAAGCAGTACGGTGCTGAAATAGTCCTCCTTAATTTTGGTCAGAATGAACAAAAGTGTCTGTGTTTATTCCTGCCTAATGCATCACAAATCTGCTGACATGCTAACCTTGGAGTCTTGGCTGGCGGTAATCAGGCCTGTGCAGCGGCAGGAAGGCTGTACCTAATGCACTCCATCAGTGCAGTTTGCATATGGAAGTTCTCACAGGGGAGCTGCCCTGTGCCAGCTGAGGGTTACCTGCCCACTGCAGTTATTGTATGTAATTATCGAACCAATCTGTTCAGCCCAGCAGGGTTTAGATGGTAATCATGAAGCAACACTTTGGAAAAGAAAGATGTAATGCACTCTCCCCTTCTCTGGTGAGCTATGTGAAGTTGTAACCACTTTTAGAGCTGTGTTAGGAAGGCAGTGCAGTCTCCCATAATTAAAAAAAAAAATGGGAAAAGAAAGGTAAACTCTTTCTGTGTTCATCAAAGTTAACATCTATGTCTGTCTGATTTCAATACAGGGCAACTCATCCTTTGCAAAAGTGACGTGGCTTTAAAAATAATCTTTCCATAACCACCTTAAGAATACTTTGCAATAGTAGGATTAATTGTAATACACAGATAATAATAGTTCTATCCACTTAGAAGTTTTAAGATAATGTGCCTTGAATAGAATTCAGCTTTTCCAAGCACTTCGCTCTGGAACAGAACCCATAGTCGCTATTAGAAAAAAAAAAAAATAATGTACTGTCAGTGGGTGTTAGCTACTTTTAAGCTGTGCAAAGAAAGCCTTAAGCATGGCTTCAGATAAACTTGAACTTAATGAGGTATAACTGCTTTAAAAAACAAAAAGCAATTAAAAGCAACTTTGGGTAAAGTGTTTTTTCTGTGTTAAGATTTTTCAAATTGATCCTTTCATAACAATTACTCAAAGTAAATAAAAACAGGTTTTGATCATAAACTGGTGGTTTCATATGCTAAAATACAAATTCTTAAACTGATGTATAGACAATGAAACCGAACTTTTAAATTTACTATTGAGTAGCATTAATAATGTTCATACGTGAATCAGTTTTCTCTGTAAATAGAGATGTTTTACAATATGTGAGGAAAAAATGCTTAAAATTGGGACATACCTTATGCAGATGTTTTCTGCTTTGTGTGGCCTTTCCTGCTCTTGAATTCAATTGCGTTTTTCCTTCACAGAAAAAAAGGAAGACAGCAGCTGCAACCGATGAGAGCACTGAAGCAGAAGTGGAAGAGGTAGAAAGTCCACAGAAAAAGAAGCGTACTTCTAGTAAGTCAGAAGGCCATCCTCACACCAAGTGTCCTGTTTATCTTCAGCAGTTAAAATGCTTTTGTCTTTAATATTTTCTTTTTTTAGATTACCTTTAATACTGAAATATTCAAACTATATGTGTTACATAGAGCTGGTGGAAATGCTGGCTGTTAAAAGTTAGTAGTAGCACCCTGTCCCTTTGCCCTTGTTCTTTCTCTCCTCCAATCTTACTTTTCTCCTCTCCTATTTTGTCCAATTCAATGTCAGAAAATGTCGGCTCCTCGGGACCTCTCCTCAGTGTGTTGCAGTCAGAGGCTAGCAGCAGCTGCTTACAAGAGTGAGTGTATTTAAAGTCAAGGAAAGGATTAGCTATAAGGATAGCTCATGGTAAAGTTAGATTTTTAAATTTGGCAGGCAGAGCTGTCAGCGTTTTCTGGGGAAAAAAATAATCATAGGCAGGTGAAGTAGGCTTAAGATCTCGCACATTCGAGTTTAGAATTCCTCAGCAGATCTGTATAGGTTAAACTTGTGGTGTCTAGTCAAAATATTCCTCCTTCATGTACACGAGGACTGAATTCAATTATGAAGATATTTATTCTAGAGACTTTTTTTTTTAGACTTTAAGTGAAAGGCCAAATGTTATGCATGGTCAAGTAGTCTAAAAATAATAAAACAGTAGAACTCAAACATTTGATTCTAACTCAAAACAGATCTACCTGTTTAAAAATAAGGTGTGAAGTAGTAATGTGTCAGGGTGGGGAAAAGGATTTTTTTAAGAAAAGAAAGTAGTATTACTGATGAATTAATAATTAACCCTGTGGATTGACTGTTTACCCAAACAGTGTGATACAAAGTACAAGTAGTCAAGACACTGTCCTGCGGGGAGGTTGCACTGTTTTGTTCATTTCAGGTGTAAACATACAATTCTGATCATTTTAATCAGTGGCTTATGTCTCTCTTATTCAGATGCCTTTTGAAATGTTGCCTTAAGTTTATTACAAGTTTTTTAGTCTGTCATTGGCTGAATAGCCAGATTATTTTTTCTTTGAAGGAAATAAAATAATTTGATTTTCATATTTAAAAGTGTAGCTGACAGCTTACCGATTGCCGTTTGATGCACCTGAGTATTATATATATAATATATATATTTTATAATTTTATAATTTATATAATATTTTTCCCCCTCCCTTTTTGGGGTTGTATACTGAGACTCTCATAGATTAATATGCAAAAGAGCTTGAGGAATTGCAGTCCAAGCAGTACTCTCTGCAAATTAGTCTTTTTAGACTAATTAAATGTGTTTGGGAAGCTGTATGTTTGCAACATCCCACGGTTATTACTTTTGGAGCACACCAAGGTGATCAGTGGCTGCAGAGACTCTGACTCTGTTAGTAAGGAAATATTTTGCTGCTTTAGGTTGTCAGAGGAGGAGTAAAGAATGCAGTCAGGCATTTTGCACGTGGTGCCACTGCTTGCCTCCCCCTCTCTGTTCCCCTTGTTCTTCTGTGTTTTTAAACAAGTGACCCCTCCAGATGAGTATGGTAAAGGCTGCCTCTTTCAGCCCTGTGGGTCACCGGTGTTTCTGGACCAGGCAAGCAAGACTCTTCTTTTTAGAAACACAATCTCAGGAAGCCCATAGGAAATCCAATCTTATAAAACAAAAAACAAACAAAAAAAAGGATTTAGTTTTACATTTATTTCTGTTTCTCAACTTTATATAAGTTAATTTCTGGATTGTCTTAAAAATCTCCAGTTGAGCTATTTTTCATTCAAGATTTTTACTTAATATAAGATCATACATAGTTTAGTGTTTATCTGTAAAGAATTAGTGGCCATGTCATCATGTTCTAGGAGAATGCAGATCATAGGGTTCTTTTGAACTTGTGCTTGGCACCACTTGCTTTCTATTCTTTGCCAGTGCCCATATTATAGATAGATTTTTATCTCTTAATTTTATACTCTAGTATTAATGTTTTAATCAATACCTGTACTGATTAGGATAGTTTTAACTGTCTGTTATTCTTTTGTTCCTTCTTGTGAAGTCCTTGGGACTGACCAGTAACAGCAACATATTTCAGGCGCAAATGGATATTAATCTAAAATATTCTGTCAATTCGTGTGAGTATCACCAAAAGATATGTCCTTCTCAGCTCTGTGCCTAGCCTTCCCTTAGCCCTCAGAAAAGTTAAATGTTCTAGTATAGGAGTTAAATTAACTGCTTTTTGGAGTTAAAAGCATTTACAGGAAGCAGCATAGTTTTAGAACTGAAAAATAGCGCTCATAGTTGTCAGAAATACTGATGAACTGGGTTCTGTATTTTGCACTAACTATATTTAAACTTGATATGAAACATTCTGTCTTTTTAGGGCCTGCTCCAGAATTGTTTGATTTTTTCAAAAGCTATTTAAATTGGAAAAGCTGTTGTAGGAGGTGATATTAAGTAGAAAGCCCTTTAAGTGTTATAGGTAAGAAGGTTAAAATAAATTAAATACATATAAAATGAACACATTTTTGCAGTTCTTCCTGAGAAATGGTTTTCTTGGACAATTTGAAAGTGATAAAGTAATTCACTGAGAAGTGCCTTGAAAATGTGCTGATAGTAAGAAGCCAAACTTTAGTTTCCAATATGTAAAGTATTAAAAAAGTTTCTGTTTACTCTTCTCTCTGTTTGGAAGATAGTTTTATACTTGGGCTTCCTTTATATTTTAATCAAAGAAGTTTCTTTGGTTTTCTGCTAATGAAATGCAGTAATACCTGTGGGTTTTTTTTTTTTTTTGTGATAAGGTTCTGTAGCAAAATGTAGGGTTTTTTTGTTTGTTTGTTTTTAAATAGTGATGTGTCAGAAAGATTTTCCCTGGGGTAGGATTTTGTATATTGGCTTTAGATGTAGAGTTAAATCACTTAACAAAACCAGACATCACTATTTTATTTTTATTTTTCTGTGGTCTGAAGATATATTGCAGTATGCTGAAAAAGTGTTGCAATTCAAATGTAGATTGAAAATGTGGAAGTGAAATTTGTCTCCAGGAACAACAACAACAAAAAAATCATGCTGCATTGACTCAAATTTTTGCAGGGAGATCTAACCTTTTTCAAGATTGTAAGTAATATATTCAAATTAAACCCTTTGTTCCTCCTGGAATTCACTGCGTGATAGAAAGGAGGACTATTTTTAAACACATGCTGCATGTGGCTTCTTATTTATATGTGTATGTAGAATTGTGTTCTGGAACCTCTTCAGTTAATCTATTTTTATAAAGAGAAGTAAATATATATTTCATTTTTTCTGGAACAATTTAGCATTAATTTCTTTTAACAGAACTCTCATAAACCCCATGTTATCTTTTGGAAATATGCAGACACAAAGCCATGAAATAATATGCCCTTGTGTACTGATGATTTTTCATAGGATAATTCCTATGGAAATGTGTAGGCTTAATTTGTTGCAGTATTTATCTATCAGGAAACAGGATTCAGAAGAACAGAACACGTAAAGCCAAACTCCATCTCACATCTCAACAAACTTTACTTCCCCTCTCTCCTCCCCGTCTTGCAATCTTGTTTTGCTTGGAATTCAAGTCTGTATTTTCTTTCCTTTTTTCATATTTGAGTTATGTTTCTGAATTTACTGTAGAGAGGGAACAAGAAAAAGCCAATTAACTAAAACTGTCTGATCCAAATACCAAAAAAGTTGCCCGTTGAGAAACATTACAGGCCTTTTGCAGGGTTCCTGGTAGAAATTTGTGGGAAAGGTCTTGTCAGGTGTCTGTATGCACTTCCTTGTTTCATCTTCGCAAAGGAGAAGTAACTGTTCTTGGCACCATATTGGAACAGCCCAAACTGATTTGGTGACGTTAGTTGTACTTGCTTTGCATTAAGTGCTGCACTGCTTGGCTTCAGTTCCCATTTGGTGTCTGCAGCCAGGTGCTGCGTGTGCTTTTTCAGCTGCCAATTATTATCTTTTTTTTTTTTAATTCCTCTCACATGTAGATAACAATTGTGTGAGTTCCATTCTCTGACCTTTCCTTTTTGGTTTGACAACTGTAGTACCCTTGTAAAGGGTGGATAAAGCAAAGGTTTTCTTAGGGAGCCATCCAGGAAAATGACTTGATAATTTCATGTGATTTCCTTGGAAATCACAAATTCACAATTAGTTGCTGATTTGTTAAATGGTAACAGAACATGTTCTTGGATTAATGTTAGGATCTGATATAGCAGTCTATGTAAGGTCAAGGCTAGTTGACTAGGAAGATTGTTGTATAGTGGCCGTTCCATTCATGCTTCGTCAGTTCTCAGCCGAACTGTGGTAATTCAGTATTCATTGGCATGAAATCACCCGAGTTAAATGTCAGTTCTGTCACAGAGCTGTCCTGCTGTGCCACACTGGGTCTTTGTGCAGCAATGATGATTAAGCTCTATCTATGTGGAGGCTAGTTTGAGAACATCTCCATCAGAAGCCACTTGAGAACCCTCCACGACATAGTCCAACACTCCACATTTGTTGGCCTTGGATTCTTTGAAGAGAAATGTAGAACAAAGCGTGAGTGCAAGATCTCTCAAACACACACACACACACACACACTCAGAATGTGATATATATTTTGTTTAAATGAAACCTTGCTATACCTAAGCGACATACTCAACTGTACATTGCTGCTTTTGAGGGCAGAATGTGTTAGCCCTATTGTTTAATGAAGCTGGTTATTGTAAGCCCAGTTTCAGAGCTGGTACAGAGACTAGAATTGCTGGCACTCTTGAGCTGTTACCCAGAGGCTGGCACGTACTCCTCAGTCTTTGTCAGGTGTAAGTTCAGCATATGCAAGTGATGCAGTTGCTAACCTGCAGCATGGCCACTGCTAGGTATTTTTCACTTACTATGATGTTTGCTTGGAGTCTTAAAAACGGTATGGGGTTCTGTTTTTTTGAATGTTGTAGCCTATGATGTAACCTAGCAGCCACCTTTAACACCTGAATCTTATCCAACTTCAGCTGCTCAGCAGCTGTGTTTTCACACTCAGACTCCCTCACTGTCCACATTTCCCTCAAGCAGGCATTTCAGTGGGAACCTTGGGACTCTCTTTTTCTGCTC